CCACAAAGATGATGTGATGAAAAGTGTGATGACAACAATCAAAAATGTGTTACAGATGATATGGGAATCATTGAAAGGGATGAATAAGTACATGTACATCATATTAGTCGTGGTCTTTACTGGGTGGGCTGCGTGGACTCCCCTCAACCAAGGGTTCCAAATTTTGACGAACAATTATTTCTTTGCAAATCCAACAGACGCATTCTTTTTTTATAACTTGGGGCGTCTACTCTTTGCAGTGGCTATGTCATTCTCTGCATTGTTCTTTGCGATATTAAATAGAGTTCCTGAAATCACACTGTGTGCGTCGAATGTACTTTCTTTTGCTTGGACATTACTCTTGGCGGTTGATGCAAGGGTATTCACTGAAGCCTCACCATATATCTGCTGTCTGTTTTTACTTGTCGCGCCAATGTATTCACAACTCATATCACTTCCTTATGCATTTGTCAGGAACGTTGTGAAGACAGACGACTTTGGGTTCTTTGTTGGTGTTGTCAACACAGCAATTACTCTGGCTCAACTGTTCTCGAATATCCCTATTTTGGCAATTCAAATCGTTTCAGAAGCTTCGTCGGCTTTTGTTTGTTCAAACGGAAACACACAGTCATCAGCATCAGTTCGGGCTGATAGCCTGTCATCAAATAGTACCGAAAACTTTGGAGATGAGTTGAGGTGGTTCACTTTCGGGTACGGATTCTTTTTCTTGCTGTCGGGATCCGTTGCTCTTCTTCTCAAAAAGGTTTCAAGCGCCACAAAAATCAACGAAAGAGTCAGCCAGCCCGTCTTTGAAGAGAATTTGGACGAGCACAAACTCCTGTTGGAGTAAGTCATTTAGTTTGTCTGTGTGTTTGTCCACTTTATTTTCTATTAATTATATTATAGTTTTAGTTTTATATTGGTTATTTATTATTAATTATGTAATTAAAATATATATTAATAATGTATTATTTCCAACTAACTATATATTCTTTTAAATCTACTATTTGTATTTGTTTACACACGATGACAATCGAACTAATAAATAATAACATAAAGCCATATTATATAGTATATTATAACAAAAAAAAAATATATATTTAGAGGCCAAGAAAAGTCACATATTTTTCATAAAAAATCTCGAACACCGAATTTTTTTAAAAAAAGAAAAACATGTTCAAAATATGTTTTTAAAGGAACAAGAAACAACAAAACAAAGAGATTTAAAAACACACAAAAATAGATTGATTTTCGAGATGAGTGAAAATCCCGAATTGTTGGTATTTTGTTTCGTGAATGGCGTTCCAAAGCAATCCACAAAAATTTTCAAAAAACAAAAAATCAAATTTCTAAAAACGAAAATTCTTCTTTTTTTTTCGCAGAAGAAATCACAAAATACTTTTGTGGAACTTTGAATATAAATATTGAGATGATGAATGAGACGCCTGTAGCACAACCAATTCCACAACAACATCTTCGAATCGAACCAATGAGCGAAAGCTCTTCCGTTATTACTCCGTCGTCGTTTTCACTCAAAATAGATCAATATTTGGTCAACAGACCTGTCACGTTCGGCGTCTGCCCACCCCCGTCATCAGACCCAGTTCCTTTTGGGTCAATAAACTATGAAAATTTTAGACCAGAGTTCTCCCCAGTCGATTTTCAAGAGGAGGATCAAAGCGAAGAAGCGTTCCAGTACAATTTGTGAGTGAGTGTTGTGTTCTAAGTCATAATCATGTGTGTATCATATTCTTTTTACTCTTGTATGATTTAGTAATTCATTAAGATACTATAATTTTACTATTTATCATTTTTTTGGTGGAAATTTTTGTCTTCTATCCAAGTAAATTATCCCAAAAAATTTTCAGAAGTAAAAAAGTTTCTTGAGTTTGCCATAATTATTAATAGAGGAACTTTTGCACTATAAAATTTGTTATGTCTCTTCATGTTGATTTGGCTCAAAAACAACTGTTCTTAAGAAGTGTAAAATAATGATAGAAAGAAACTGAAGATGTTGGAAAATTTTAATTGAGAGCATTACGGAGATTTGTTGAATTCTGTGCGTTTCAAGAACTTGTTTTCTTTTTTATTGTGGAATTATTGTAGTAAACTATATCATTAGTATAAACTAAAAAATTTAAAATTGAATAATTAAGCGGGTTAAATTTTGTCTTTTTGGAATTTATAAAGAAAGACTTTTAAACCAGATGGAGGGACTCACTGCAAAACGGATCGATGCTATTGTTGCAAAACTGTTGCAGGACAGAAACCTTTTTCCTCCAAGAAAGGAGATCATCACAGACGACGAAATAATGATGTTGTGCGACACAACAACACGCGTTCTTTCACGTGATCCAAGTCTCCTTCAACTCAAAGCACCACTCAATATCATTGGCGATCTCCACGGACAATACTCGGACCTTTTGAGGTACTTTGATGAGGCAGACATTAACAACGAAAAGTTCCTTTTTTTAGGTGATTTTGTTGATCGTGGACCAAGATCAATCGATATCGTCGTCCTCATATTCTGTCTCAAAATAAAGTTCCCTGACAGGTTCTTCTTATTGAGAGGAAACCACGAGGTTCAGAACTTAAACCGTGATTACGGCTTTTATGATGAGTGTTTGTTTTTTGTTGGACGTAATTACGTTATATTTTTAATTACATATATTTTGTATTAATTTACAACTTAAAAATAGGTGTTCAGCGATTCAATGTAGATGTGTGGCGCAAGTTTTGTTGGGTATTTGGGTACCTTCCTGTTGCTGCGTTGATTGATTCATCGATATTGTGTGTTCATGGCGGAATCTCAAAATATTTGTCTGATGTATCGTTGTTGACACAAGTCGCGCGCCCAACGGATGTTGCAGAGGAGGGACTTTTGTGTGATTTGCTGTGGGCAGATCCGTCTCAAGAACACATGGGATGGAAGGCTAACATGAGAGGGGTTTCGTTTACATATGGAGAGGATGTAGTTGAGAATTTTATGACGAAAAACAACATACAGCTGATATGTCGAGGTCACCAAGTTGTTGAAGAGGGATTTGAATTTGCGTTCAACAACAAAGTCTTGACGCTGTTCAGCGCGCCGAATTACTGCAACCAATTCAACAACTGTGGGGCAATGATGAAGGTGTCCAAGAACTTGGCGTGCAATTTTGTGGTGCTTCAACCCAAAAATTGATTGTTTGATTCTTTACTGTTGTTTTCATCCATTTAATTTCATAATTATAGTTGAGCATATATATAAAGTGACTTCCCCAAGGTGTGCAAGTTAAAATTATTAGTCTTTTTTACAGGGAAAGGGCGTGCAAGACTAAATTTTAGTTGAAAAACATTTTATTGAAAATGTTATTCGTTTCCAAATTGTTTCAAAAAACACACAACCCTTTGGTGCTTGAATTAATAAACTACAAAAAGCAAATTAAATTATAAAAATTGGGTTATGGTTTGTCTATGTGTTTAATGTAAAAACAATTTTGTTTCAAGACGTGAATAAATGTCGATGTCTTATGTGTCAGCGTAATTCAAAGTGACAAGAAAAGGTGTAATAAACATTATGTTTTTCTCTGTGCCATTTTATAGCAAACAATAACAAATAGTCTGTTTAATAGGTGCAGTTCATTGTCTCAAATCGATGTGTACTGTTGTCCAGAACTGGTCCTTCGATAATTTCCATTGGGTCGCTTTCCCGAAATTGTTGCTTAATTTATTGTATTCGAAGTGTGAAAGTTAAAAATTGCAACGTTACAAGGTGTGCAAGTTAAAGTATAGTTTAGTAATAACTTCAAAATTATAATTAATAATTAAACTAAAAATAATCTTTTTTTTCAAAATTTCAAAAAATTAATGATTCTATTTTTTTAATAAAAAAATTATAAATGAACTATACCTTAACTTGCACACCTTGGGAAGTCACTTTATGTATATAAACATTAGTCAACCAAATTAACCTTTGCCCAAAATAAACTATTAATATTCTATTGTTCTATTAAACAAATAAACTATACCTAAATAAAACAAACATATTTATTTTAATGATAAGTTAAAAAGTTTTAACCCGATAATCAGTACAGTAAAGGGAGTGAAAGGCTTGACGGTACTGAGCTGCTTGACCTATACTTTTAATGGTTTATTTCATGGTCCTTAAATTTATAAATAGATGCCATAGGTTATCTTTAAATATTTTAAAAAAATGGAAATAAATAAAATAGAAAAATGCCTTACAATTTAAAAAAAAACAAAATCATTTAAAATTTACTTTTCAATAATGTAGTTAATAAAAAACAGTTTAAATATATAATTCTAAATTATAAATATATTTATCTGTATATACATGTTAATGATTTATTAATTAATTACTTATTTTTAAAAGATAAACGATCTTGAAATCAATTAATACAATCAAATTAAAAACATGGATAAACCAAAACCACGAATAGATTGGATCAAAGAAAGATACAAATGATATAAACAAACGTGAATTTATATATATCTTTTGTGGAAAAGACATTCACAAAGCACAATGTTCACACCACCACGAAGATTGTCATTGTGAAATTCTTGAAGACAAAAAACATGTGAATTGCTGGTGAACAGTTTTAGAGCAAGAGAACATTTACAACAAATTAAAAACAATAAATTATGTGATGAAAAAGTTATCAACAAATCAAAAGTGAAAATCAAAGAAGCGAATTTAATAGAAGAAGGTAGATTACCAACAACAAATCTTGATGATATTTTGGCAGCAAACAACATACTTAGTAAACACAAAGTTATCGCAGAAATAATCGAAATAATCGAGGAATCTAAAGAAAAGTGTGGAATTGAAATATTGACAAAAATAAAAAAGTGAATCAACTTTGTCCAAAAGAGTTACAGAACAGTATGCAAAGTGTGTTGAAGAAGTTGATAAATTGGCAAGAATAGCAACACACTTGTCTATTCTTGTTGATGAATCTGTGGTTGCTTCAAAATCTTGGTATTCATATTACATTCGAATGGTCATGCCCAATATGGATATCATAGTCAGAATGTTGGGAATTAATGTTTATAATGGAAAAGCTACTGGTGTTTTGTTGTCGAAAAAAACAAAAGAGGTATTGGAACAACACAAAATAGATACATTGAAAATAACTAGTTGGGGAACTGATGGCGCTCCCAATGAGCAAAGTGAGGGTGGCATGAGTGGGATATTATCTAACGAATTTTCTAAACTACCTGGAAGAACAATGTGGATCTTCCCAATATGGTGCAAATGCCAATTATTAAATTTCTGTGTCGCAGAATGTTTGGAATCCAAATGTGTGTCATGCACTGTTTATTTGATTTCCAATGTCAGTTTTTTCTCAAAAACTCAAAGTTTAGAGAACTTTACAAATGTACACCTCCAACTTATTGTACAACAAGGTGGTTATCAATGGAGGTATTGTTTAAATGGGTATTAAAAAATTACGACAAAATTCATATTTATTTTATGAACTTTGAGTTAAAAGAAATGAAATATGGTGAAATGACAGTGAAAGAGATGAACAAATAAATTTCCAGTGTTCATTTAAAACTAAATATAGCATTTCTATTAAACACTTTGGGACAAGTGGAAAAATTAAACCAAGAACTTCAGAAAAAAATGCCGTGTTCTTTCGATCGATTCATAAGATTAAAAAATTTAAAGATAAATATAATAATTTGAAAATGATATTAAAACACACACTTTTGATTTATTTCCAAATCTTAAGTTGTTGACAAACCTCAAGGATGTTGATATAACAAATGCTATAAAAACATTGGACATTCTTTTTGATACATTGGAAGTGAGGTTTCAATATGTTGTAGCATCTCCAAGATTTAAAGGAAATTGCATTAATTATATTGAAAACAATAAAGACAAAAATAATCGAGACGGGACTGTGTATGAACCACTTAAAACGAATTTAGATGTATTTTGTGAATTTGCAAACGACTTCGATTTCTATGTGATGGAAACAAAGACTGTTCCATATGTTATGAAACAATTTGAAATGGAAATAAAACAATTAAGTTAAATAAATAACTTGTATGAGCTTAGAAATAATATGAAACGTATAAAAAGTGATTTATGTGTAGCAAAAAGTTAAAAAAAGGGTTGTTTAATAGAAAAAACATGTAAATTGTTAGATATTTCCGATGAATTGGATATACTTGATTATATTAATTTATTAAAAGAGGGCTCTGATTAACGCAAATTTGTTGGATTCATGTTGAGCATCCCTTCAAGTTCCGCTGCTTGCGAATGTTGTTTTTCAATTTTAAAAATGTATGCAATGCCAAATATCCAAGAGTCTGTACTCCGAGAAAGAATGATCGTTAAAGATGCTGATTTAAACAAATAAATAAGTGTTTAGTTATTTAACTATCAATATTTCATTTGTATCAAATTTAAAATTGTTAATTGTAGTAAATTATTTTATTGTATTATTAATAATTTAAACTTGATGTTATAATAACAAGTAATAATAATATATTTACCATAAAGCAATATATGCCAACATTATATAACTACTGGCTTTCCCAACTATACAACTATTTATCTGAGTGGTTTAAATTTTTTTGCTACATGGTGTATATCTAAATCCGTAGGGTTGGATTTTTAAGGAACCTGTTTATTTACTATATTTAAATAAAAACTATTTTTAATGTTCTATTTAAAAATACAACCTTGACTTATAAGTTATAGTTTATAAACAATAAAAGTATTGGTTCATCCTTAGCATAAAGTCAGAACTTAAAATTGTATTCAAATTGGCTTGGGTGTTTGTTAGTTGTTTTTATATAAAGTCATTGGTAAACGTTAGTCTTGTTGTTTGGTATAGCTCTCGTTGTTGGTTCAACTCTTGCATATTCCAAGGCAAAATTTCTTCTTCTATTTAGACCAAATGTGTTGGTGTAGGCGAAAAAAAAACGATTCCAAGTGTTCTCTGGTATAAACATTTTTGGCTTCTTGGAAAAACCCACAAGTTTCTATAATAGAAATGAACAATGATCTATTCTTGTCGATATGAACTTTAACAACACCAGAACGCTTTAACAATTTAACATTGATGTTTTTATTGTTTTGTTTTCTAATACCTCCAACACATTTTTGGCATGACAAGCAATGGAAACACAAGTATGCTCTTTCTGTTTTCTTTGTTCTCCTTATTATTTTAGAACTTGTCATGATCTCCCAACACTATCACTATGTTCTTTCATTTAAAAATTCAATACAATTTGAACTATTCCTATTTTAGTTACTCTGGAATTGGTGTCAATTGATCCTCAGTTGTCAGAGAAACGAGTAAGCCAATATTTGACAACAACTCCAAATACATAAGTCAAATGGTGAAACGAGTGAGTTTATGTAAATGAAAACTTGTCTATTATTGCTAAATAAAATCTTGTCTTTGAAGAAAGAAGTTGTATTTATGTTGTTATTAAAAAAATAATTGAAGCTTTGTAAATAAACTCTTTTCATTAATTCGTCATTGCCCTCAATGAGAGGTAATAAATGCAATTTTTACCTAAGATATTTAAATTTTATATATTTTTATTAGGTGTGGTTATATGAAAAAAATAATTTTTTGATGTTAAATTGAAACAAAAAAAGTGTATGACCTTTTTATTATTTTGAAATTTATTTTATCTCCCTGTTATTTTTCCTTATTAATAAAATCGTCATTACAATAAAAAGAATAAACCCAATGCACAGTAAAAAACCCAATGCAAGAAAAAACAATAACAAAAATAAATAACAAAAATTGGTTTAGTTTTAAATAACAAAAATAAAAATATGACCAATAAAATTAAAAGATTTGTAAAAATCAAAGAGAACTTCCTATTTAAAATAGTCAGATTAAACACGTAAATAAGTTAATTTAAAGGATGATTTTTTAACTAAAAAACATCTTAACTTGGATCGAGGTCTTAACGGATCTCTCCTTATTAAAAATTGAAATCCAGTAATTTATCACTTAGAAGGTTTATGCCTTTTTCCTTTGCTATGAGTTCTTTCTTTGAGTCTGGAATTTAAAAAGTCACGGAATGACTGTTGGGAGAAGAAACAGTTGTTTTGCCTTTATGAATTAACGATGGTATCCGCGTCTGATGTAATGGTGGTGTTTTAGATACCGGTTTGGACTTTTGAGGTTCAATATTCGACAGTGTTTG